CTGGTCTGATCCAGATCCACAACAATGCGATTGCTTCATTAATGACCTCTGAAATGGTCTATGAAGCTACTCTGTTAATTCAGACTGGTACATAGTCTAAAATGAAAGACACTGGAATTGTCTTTTTTCAAACCCAGCCTTGTCGACCATCAATGTCCTCCTTAATAATATCAAGGGACACACTGAAATTTTGAGAACTTTTGTCAAATTCTGCCATATCCAATCATGAATGGTAATAGGCAATGAAACTAATAGGAAAAGAATCCTTCATAAATGTCCCCATTCTCAGTGATAGAGAGCCTAGTATGTCAGCATGAAAAATGAGGCTAAAACATTTGCATCCATCTTCAGCCAGAAGTGCTGAGTGGATGATCCATCTCAGCTTCTTCCTGAGGTCCCCAAAATAACAGATGCCAATCTTCAGTCAATTCAACTTACTCTACATGTTTTAAAAAGTAGCTGAGGGCATTGGATACTGGAAAGGCTATGGGCCCTGGCAACATTCCAGCGACAGGAATGAAGATTTGTGCTGCCAAACTTGCCTTACCCAGAGTCAAAGCTGTTCTAGTGCAGTTAAAACTGGCCTCTGTCTAGCAATGTAGAAAATTACCCAGCTATGTCCTATCCACAAAAAAGCACAACAACTCCAGTCTGGCCAATTACCACCGAATCAGTGTACACTCAATCCGCAGCAAAGTAATCAAAGGGGATGTCAACAGTATTGCCACTGCTCAGCAATAAGCTGCTCAGTTTGAGTTCAGCCAGGGACACTCAGCTCCTCATCACACTAAATCCTTGCTCCAAACTTGATCAAACATGAACTCCAGATGGGAAGGTGAGACTGCCCTTGACATCAAGGCAGCATTTGACTTAGAATGCCATCAAGGAGATCTAGAAAAATTGAAGTAAATAGGAATTGGAAAAAAACTCACCATTGGAAGGAATCATACCAACCACCTCAGTCCCAAGATATCGCTGCAGGAATTTCTTAGTGTAGTGACCTAGGCCCAACGTCAACTGCTTTATCACTCACTTCCCAACAGTCACTATGTTGGAGGTGGGTATGTTCACATCAGTCATAATCCTCAACTCCTCAGATACTCTAGTAGTCTGTGTCCATGTGCAAAGAAATCTGGACAATATCCTGTCTTGAGCTGATAAGTGACAAGTTATATTCTTGTCACAAGTGCCAGGCAATGACCATTTCGAACAAGAGATTATCTAACTAACTCCTCTTGACATTCAAAAGGCAATACCGTTGCTGATATCAACACTGAAATTTACTATCAACCAGAGACTGAACTGGACTTGTCATATAAATACTATAGCTACAACAGCAGGTCAGAAATTCTGTGCCAAGTAACTTACCTCCTGTCTAGCCAAAGCCCATCCACTAACAACATGGCACAAGCCAAGAACATGATAGAATATTCACCACATGCCTGGGTTGTGCAGCTCCAGTGGAGTTCGAGTGATTTGGCATTATCCAAGCTGAAGCAGTCTGCTTGGTTGACATCCATTCACCACCTTTGACATTCACTGTCTCCAGCAAGAATGTATGATGTCAGTAGCATGTACCATCTACAAGATGCACTACAACAACACAACAAGGCTTCTTGGTCAACAACTTCCAAACTTGTGATGTCTGTCACCGAGAAAGACAAGGGCTGCAAGTACATAGAAACTCTACCGCTCCAGGTTGCTCTCCAAGCCACACACAATCCTGACCTTAGCAATGTTGCTATTCTTTCAGTGTCACTGTGTGAAAGACCTGAAACTCTTACCCTAATGTCACTCCACGTGGACTGCCATGGTTCAAGAAAGTAGCTGATACACCACCATGTCAAGAGCAATTAATGATGATCAATATATGCTGGTCCAGTCAGCAGTGCCCAAATCCTGTGAATTAATATCTTAAAAGTACTGGGTGCAGGATAGAAAACACATATGGGCAATAAATAAAGGATCTAAAAAGGGATTAGGATTCGGCACAGAATCAATGGGCCGAAGGGCATTTTCCTGTGCTGACTTATTGTATTGTATATTATATTGTATAGATTTAATTTATTTTCCACTGATTGTCATGATGGGGAAGGGGGAGAGGGTGGATTTGACCCTATGTGCCCAGATCATTTACCTGGCCCTCTGGATTATTGGCCCTATCATCACCATCAGAAGAAAAGTTATTGTTTATTTAGAATATTGTTAGAGCCGGAAGCGGCCTGTCAACAATAGTGATGCAAGTAGAGGAGGGAGTGAAGGTATATATGAGAAAGAAAAGGTTAATATTTTACTAAGAGGGTAACGGAAGGAGGAACGTGTGTGAATGGACACTTTCCTCAGGGAACCGGCAAAAATAGAATGAGTCCAATGTATGCTGCAATATTTTATTTATTTAGTAAGATACAGTATGCGAATCTCAATGTTTACTGGAAACACGACCCGGTGCTGTACACGTGGCTTGACTTCCATTGTGTTGCGGAATTCACAGAACTTTGAAAAATGGTCTGTGGAGAGAAAGTGTATTTTGAACAAACAGAACCGAGAATATTATTGGAATCCTGTTCAGGCAGAAACTAGTGTTCATTGGACAATTACTGCAGCAACTAAAAAAAACACGAAAGATTGAAGGAAACGCGGGCCAGGTCACAATTGTAAGAATTACAGGAAAAGTGCACGAATTAAAACTGTTTTGTTTTAAAAACAAAATTGGTTCTGAACCGGTTTTCGGGAATGTTGCAGTTTGGAGCATGGATGAAGACCGTGTTTGCCTGCAGCCCCTTGTCTGTGCCTCCCTCACACCATCCACAGCTGGCGTTGTGTCCTGTGTTCCTGCGATTTCTCGTTTGATCATGGTGCGTGCAAGATTTTTTTTCGACGCAAGTTAAAAGTGTAAATCCCTTTTCAGAGCATGTCTCCTCTTCAAGATATCAACCTCCAGTAGTGACTGCATTTAAGAGTACCGCTTTTTGATGGAGTCCAGAGGGGTTTGGTTTTGCAAGGAGGGAAAACAGGCGTGTGGTGGCTTGTCATCTTCTTGCGAGTTTCTCTCCATCAGCTCTTTACCGATGGATCTGTTTGAAAAGTGAACGTGTTGCTTTCCGGCCACACCGCTAACCGGGTGATTTAATGATCGACTGTAAACAAAGCACTTTCTCTGAAAACTGCAAGAGGTGACGACCTTCAGGATTGAGTGCATACAAACTGAAATGGACATTATCTCCCGTTTCTCAAACCGACATATAATGCGGGGGGACTGTGGATCTAACCGCTGTTTAAGACATCCAAGCCATCGCTGTAAAAAAGAAAGCTCTGTCCAACCTAGGAGCTTTGAAGGGGAATTGAACTTAAAATAAAGCCAGCAAAGGGGAGTCGGGAACGGTGGGGTGCAAATCGCTTTTTGTGATTCTTTTTCACGTTCGGGCACTGGCTGTTTGAGACAGGTCTTCCGCTGCAGTGGCTGACACAGTAAACGGGGCAGTGAGTCTGCAAACACGGTCAACTTAGGTCTGCAGGAGGTGAGGATAATGCAGAACATGACCATCCGTCTCCCGAAGGGAGCTACGTTCACTGTACAGGCTTTATAAAGCTTTTTAAAAGTGAGCAGTAAGGTTTGGACCAACCGCTCGGAATAAGACAAAGAAAGGACAAAGAAAACTTTTAGACCCACAAGCACTCCCAGTAACAGGAATTAATTTACCCCTGTTTAACTAATAATGCTCAATACATGATTTCGCAACCCGAACTTAGGAACAGTGCACGATGCTACTGCAAAACATGACTGAAACATACAAGTCCACCACTCCTTCAACACATGGACAGGGTCAGTTCAGAGTGGGATCTAATTGTTGACTGGAGTGATTTTCAGAAGTTTGTGGTGTCAAATTAGCAAAAGGGTAACCTTGGAGGTGTTTTTGACCTAGAAGAGACCAGGTTAAACGAGAGGAGTCATACCGCCTCAGAGCTCTCAGCTCGAGGAATTCTCGAAGAATGATCATTTATTTTCGAACGGCCAGCGCTGGCCAACTGGGGTTAAAGTGTTAGATCAGGCTGATTGATGAAGGTCCGTAATATTTACAGAAATTCCAGAGATACTTTGACATAATCGCCGAGAAAAAAATAAAGTGGCATCTGGAGCTGTCTGTTTGAGGACATAGTTCAAATAGTTTCAATCATCCGCGGTGTGCTGCATGTGTAGTTTTATGCGAAACCTGCTTTTAATACAGTGCTCATTAAAACCTGACAAGGGGACGGGAAAGGGGTCGTTTCCTCTTTTTTTTCTCAGTTTGAATTGGACAGGAGTCAGTGACATGCTCTCAATTCGCTTTCCTTCCAGCGTCAGTGCAGAATCCCCCAGAAATCCAAGTTAACGTCCATTCATTTTCGCCCAACTTCTCCCAAGCTCACAAGCTGACTTCAAGATGTTTTCTCTCCTTCTGACTAAATACTTGAGGGCCCATAAAATATTCCGCTGCTTATGAATATGTGAAGAGATTGGAGTTTGGAGAGCCAGGACTTGACAAGCCAATCTGTTCTGTGGAGTGAACGCTGTGAGTTTAAATAAATGTTGGTGTCGACAGTGAACCTGTGGAGCGGGAGAGGGAAGAGTTGGTGAACTAGGCGAGCTCCTGACTAAAGGAGTAAACTTCTCCCGAGGTGAATGGATCTGCTGTAGTGGGCGCTGTGCCTGAACTAATGGCCGTGGACAAAGTAATTTAATACCCGGTATGGTTGGAAACTGTGTGAGAGAGAGAGTGATGATGGAAACAGGAGTTCAGCCATGGGAACAGCGAGCAGATGTAGCTGCAGCAACCGCTGGAAGAAGCTAACGGAGCACAGCAGCGAGCAGAAGCCGGGAACTGAGATAGTGTCCACTCTCCTGCTGGAACCTCCTTAACCCAGGTTGATGTACAGACCCCGCCTCAGACACTCAGCTTGACTCTGGTGTATTGACCAACGGACGGACAGAGAGAGAGAAAAAAATCCCAGCAAACAAAAGGATGGACCATTCTGAAAGAACCCCATCTGCCCTCAGAGAGGATGCTGATGTGTTCTACTGGGAAGCTGCAGGCAACATCTCGGATGGACTGTGGTTAGTGGACGGTAGCCAGGAGCTGGAGGATATGGCTCAGCCCGGGGACTGGGAGTTGTTGCTGGCCTCTGTTTACTGCGTGTTGTGTGTGCTGGGCCTGGCTGCTAACTCGCTGGTTATTTACAGCATTGCACAGCCGGCTCGGGCCAGCACGGTGGCCAGCGTCTATGTGTTGAACCTGGCGGTGGCGGACGGCTTGTTCATGCTGGGGCTACCTTTCCTGGCCGTGCAGCTCGCCCTGCGGCGCTGGACTTTCGGGGGAGCCCTGTGCCGCCTGGTCATGCTCCTGGACGGGGTCAACCAGTTCGCCAGCGCCTTCTGCATCACGGTGCTGAGCTTAGACAGGTACCTGGCGGTGGCACAGCCGCTGAGATACTGCCGCTGGAGGAGCCCCAGGTTGGCAAAGTGGGTCAGTGCCAGCCTCTGGACTCTGTCCTTGCTCCCAGTGCTGCCCATGGCCATCTACTCCGAGGTGACTGGGAACCCTGGGCGCTGCATGGTCAGTTGGCCGGAGCCTGTGTCTACCTGGAGTGCAGCCTTTATCCTCTACACTTTTGTGTTGGGCTTTCTCCTGCCTTTCAGCATCATCTCGCTGTGTTGCCTCCTGTTGCTGCTGAGGCTCAAGAGGAGTCACGCTGCCTACCCCGAGAGGAGGCTCACCACCATGGTGCTAGCTATGGTCCTGGCCTTCACTCTCTGCTGGCTGCCCTTCTACACCATCAACCTGTGCCTGGTGTGGCTCACCAAACCAGGCAGCCCCTCTCTCCGCCGTCTCTTCCAGCTGCTGGTCGCCCTCTCCTACTCCAACAGCTGCGCCAACCCCCTCCTTTACATCGGCCTGTCCGGCAGCTTCTGGAGACGCTGGTCCGGGCCTCCTTGCCCCCGCTGGCCGCTAAGGACCAAGCTGCCGATGGACAACAGCACCGGCCCCGGAGCTCAAAGGCTACACAGCGGCACCGAGACCTCAGGCACCCTCTCGGCGGGCGGCGCGGAGTGTGACTTCAGATAGCTGCGGTTCTCCCTTTCCCAACCCCCGCCCTCCCTACCCCAACCCACAGACACCTACAACCCTATCCCAGCCCCCTTC